GATTTATCTGATGTGATGGGCCCCACTTGAAATTTGATTGTCCACCCCAAAATTAAATTCTATAATTGGTTATTTGGTTATTCAGAGTCAGGATTTAAGATGAAATCAACTATTCTGGCTGTTTTAAACAGGCTTATCGTAGTACTTTCAATTTTGAATAAATACTTGGCTCTTTACATAAAGAATTCCAAGCAAAAATGTGTGCATAGTGTCTAACTTGCAATAGATTAACTTGTAAATAAATGGTTTTTTTGCAAGTGAGACATCGTCAAGAGTTTGTGTACAGTTTTCATACAATGTACATTAAATTGTAAATTTTCACATCTTTGTTTTTGAGCCCCTAAAGAATCAAGTTAAGAAGATTTGTATGCTGCCAAATTGTGTTACTTACAAGAACATATCATTAGTGGGGATAGAAAGGGTAAAAAAAATGAAATTAATTTGCGTGTATGTGCCCTCAAACTCCATGCCAACCCTGCATAAGTCAGTGACCCGGGAAGGCCACCCCAGTCAAACACCCGAGGAACGCCCCTGCTGTGTTGTTTCATGCAGTGATTTAAACCTGGAGATTCAGCGAAATTATGCCTTCATCAGGGCACTTACAGAGTATGGAGCAGTGCGGCTCCATAGAGGACACCTGCATGTGTTTATATCCCCAAATATGAACTTGTATAAAACATTAGAATGATTTAATGAATTTGTTTTAAACACTCATTAACTGTATTAATGTTGTTAAATCTTATTGAAATATCAATTTTTTTTATTTTCCTGTTATGGAAGCACAAAAACGATTTGGTAAACTGTAGAGCAAAAAAAACATGGCTTGAGTTTTAGTAAATTCTTAAAGCAAATATTTACATTATGTTTCCTTACTTGAAATGTTGTTGAAATGACCCTTTAACACAGTTTGATGGATGCTTCTTTGTAATAAAGAAAGATTTCTTTACTGGCTTGTTATAAGTGATAAATGTATTACAGGTATTGATAGATAGGCCAATGTGATGTATCAGCACTTTATCACCCACTATTGTTATGTGCTTCTGGTATTATATTAAAAATACTGGCCATAAACAACACAGTAAAGCAATAAAAGCTGAAGCCTTTAGTCTTTATTGTGTGTGGGTGTTTCACCACTTACACCAGCACTTATTGATGTGTCTCTTTTCACTTAACACTCCTGTATGAACACTTGGCTGCTGTAAAAACCCATTGTCAGCGTATATATGACTTCATATGTACACAGAGGTTACAGCAACAACTCTATTACACTGCTGTTTCTACCTTTAGTGTAAAATATTAATAATATTTTTTTCTATAATGTTGCTGTAAATAAGAGAAGAGCAGCGCTCCGCAGGGCAGTACTGGAGATTTGAAGAGGGAATAAATAGAAGATGTGACCTCACAGCCTCACAGATGGAACATGAACATGCCTTTCCTCTCTCCAGCTGCATGATTTATTCACATTAAGACAGTGTGTGTTTGTGCATACAGGAGGTGTGTCCAACAAGGACGTGGGAGGGTTGGAGGGAGGTCGAAGTACTTCTTGACCTTGGCCATATATTTATCACACCTAGCTTGCTGCATGCATATTTAAATGTCTAACAGTATGTAGTGTACCTGAACTGTTGAACATCAACCTCTTTGCTTGCGTTTGTCTGTACTTCCAAATAAACATGACAATTTAAATCAATCTTATTGCAAGATTCTTCTAGACTTTGAACTTATTTTGCTAAATTCTTCCCCCTTCGTTCATTCAAATCTCTAATGCCATCTTTTATTTGGAAAAAAGTCTATTTCCATCCTCTTTTGTTCACAATGTCAAAGTAGCATCTTTTTCCAATTCCAGTCAATAAAAAAAAAACACTTCTGTGAAGTGTTTGTCTGCCTGTTCTTTTTTCCACAATCTGAAATTGCACCTCAAAAAAATTGGGATCAAAATTTCATTCATATTCTTCTCCTGCAACTGTATCGTTCATCATCTTCCCCCTAACACAATAGCAACTTCCTGAAAAAAAGTCTGCCAACTTAAAAATCTAAATATAGTAAACGAATTGTACTGCTAACAGGTGGCCTTAAAGATAGACACATGCAGCTTTTGTCTTTTTGTCACAAAAGACTGAAGCTTACTGTTTTTCATGGGAGGACAGGTTTCTATGACAGTGGCTCTGCCAGCCAGAATCTTATAATCTTCTCTATATAACCATAACAATACGATCTTGGACTGTTTCTGGCTACGAGCTGTAAAAGTAGCTGTTGAATTAAGTTTATTGTGTGTGTTGGGAAGAATTGTGGTTGCATAGAAAGAAGCAAATACAAACCATGAGACATTTTGTAAGCTTTGGGGATTAAAATCAAGTTTGCAGTGAAGCTCACACTAAGTGAAATGTTAGCACACAACCTGCTAAGACTAATTCTGCTAGCATTTGCGGTAGGAAAGAGAATGCAGCAGCAATCCATGATGAGCTCGGGTGGCAATATAAGATCGCAGATATGCCCGTCAGTTTGTGCCCAGGAGACTCTGATATTAACCTACTCACCTACTCAGCTTCTCAAGATGACATCGGCTTTATTTTGGCATCAGTCTCTGGCTCTGTTAAACTAAATGTGTTGCGGGCTACATTCAAGATCTATTCTAACTTTTACTCCATGTTTCTCTGGAATAAATGTAATGATTTATAATACTATGTCAGTCAGTGCTCCATATATTTAGCTGGCAGGGGTTTTTGAGGCCAGTTTTCTGGCTAGCTGAGATCAATCCGAGGTTTGGTGAGCGTTCGTGTGCTGGCTTTCTCTCTCTCTCTCTCTCTCTCTCTCTCTCACAGTCACTGTCATCATGTTGGTGCACGTGGGAGATAAAGGTGTGCTACACACACCAATGGTTCTTGTGCATACCATGACATTTATCTTGCTGCATTCCTGTTGCTACATACTCTTTGTTCTCCTATACTGCTTTTATCTGTACAATCCATAACATCCCCCTCTTATATTTTGGGATGCTAGTTTGTAATAAAAGCAAATGAAATGACGATATAGCACAGATGAATAGCTTTTAGTTCTTGCATGCCAAAAACCACACCCCTTTACATTTCAGATGAACTGGTGGGGAAGGAACAACAGATTGTTCAGCAACAATCAAGAGACACAGAATATTAGCAATTATTGCTCCAACTCACACCCAACTAAACCTATCTTGAATAGACAGAGATATGGTCGAACCATAGTAAGGTTTTTCTTTCTTTTCCCTTTAAGCTACTGTGGTTTTGCTTACATAGCTGTTTTGTGTATCAACAAGTATTTAGCCATTTTTTAATGTCAAAATGTGAAACTCTAACGCCAATTGAGCTTTTAAGTGACTGAATTAAAAATCAGCGGACAATCCCTAGTCTTACATCTCCATGCAACTTCCTTTGAATCAAAAGGTGGTGACAAGAAAGGGAGCAGCAGTAACAAATCAGTGCTCAGACACAAAATATATGTATTAGGGAGACGATAAGAAAGATCTCTGTATTTCAACAACACCAAGCCCCCGCTACTGCAACCTCCTTTATCTCATTCCTCCTCATGTATCTCTTTTATATCCTCATCCTTCTCTCTGTCTTTCTTTCCCGCTCTGCATGCCTGTCTCTCTCACTGGCTTCCCTGCATCCGACCTCAGGGTGTTCCCGTAGGACAGCCCCCAGCTCCCTCTAATGATATAATTATAGCCAATGAGCCAATGTGATGACTCAGGCTGATTAGCAGCATCAAAACAACACGAGCCCCCAAACAGAACTTAGACTTAGAGGGAAGAGAAATGAGGACATGAGGGGGGCGGGGGTTGCACTGACAATGCACTCTGAGGCTTCAGTTATTTCAGGGATTAAGAATGACATACTGCATGTATGACTGGTTATGTAATGGGAATCAGTGCTGAGAAAAAACTGGTCTGAATCCCTAAGCAGGCTTGAAAATCATGACGTGGTCGTCAGAATCAGTAACACTGCTGTCAGGGTGCCTTTGAGCAAGATGCAGTAGTATCAGTTATGTTGCTCTTTAGCCAAGAAGGTTACAGTTAGGATACCGCTGTAAAGAACTTCAAGTATTTCCAACTAAAGTGGCCATTCAAACCCATCCGCTGTTAGAATTTGTCTCAATCCCCCCCAATGTAAAAACCGCAACACCTTGTGTCATTTCTGTGCTTTTTCCAAGGTCTGGGCCTCAGCTAAATAAAACCTGATTGATCGCCTATTAATGCATCTGAAGGCTACTATGATTTACTTGTTCGTAGCAAACAAGACAGCTTCCATTTTTCTCCACTAATGGTGTCCGTCCTTGCAATAACTCTTCTTGTCTCCATGTATTCAAGCTCCATTACATGTGGCATTCATTTCAAAGGCAGTCGACGTCTATTGGACCATTACTCGATGTGGTAGAGCTGATAAAATGAGCTGAAAGGCTGCCCTGTAACTAAGAATAGCAGGTGCTGCTGGAGAGTTGTAAATGGGTGTTTATGTTTCGCAAATGGGGTTTTTGAGTTGTTGTTTTATATCAGTTTAATTTGCTTTATTTATCACAAAAGTAATCACACAGTTTACTAGAATATATCCGCAAAGCATAGGCCCTATACTAAATAGCCCCAGAGTGCTGTTGCAGTACAACTGGTTGTCTGATGATTTGAAATAGCTGTTTAGGCTCTGCAAACAATGATATTTCAAATTGAAAATGGGTAGGTACAAACCTCATAACCATATTTAATTATCTATTACTGTGAATGGTTTTCACCACTGTAATTATTGAATATTAGCTCTGTTTGAATATTTGCTGTGGGAACCCGAGTAGATATAAACTCTTTTATACACCAATATTCAAAGAACACATCTTCTTACCTGTCTTTCCCTTTCTCCCTGCCGCACCCATGCACATATTTTGATAGGGGGGGCAAGTGATATATGGCTTTATTTGCAAAGAATGTGTTGTTCAGACATTAATGTTGCTCCTTCCTCTGTTTTGTGTCCCCACAGAGAGCAAAGAGGTGTACAAGAGACAGGTGCTGTCAATCACCTCCATCGCCATGGCAATCAGCCTCCTGGGAACCCTTTGTATGGCCCTCTACTGCCGCAACAAGTGAGAGCATAAACACAGACAAGATACATAAAGATATATATCTGAAAACGGCATATATACTGTTTGTATCGCTTTTATAGAAATTCAGAAACATGTTTCTTCCAGTGTCTTGTTGTACTTGTGTGTACTTTACCTGTGTAATAACAAACAATAGCTAACATTGCAGGTATTGTTTCCAGTAAAGCAGATGAGAAAATTGGGCATTTTCCCTAACTGTCATGCAACATATTCCATAGCTAAAGTACTTTGGTTTCATGAAACACTGATCCAAAATAATAATCCTTGAATTTTTAGCACATTCTTATTCCAAAGTCTTAAAACGAATGCCTTATTATGCCTCTCAGTCGCTCACAGTTTCAAAATGTTTCCTTTAGCATCTCAATGAGATGCACTGGGGTTTCAAGTTAGCCAAATGTTATCCAACTTATAGCTGTTTTATATGTTCAGAACAGCTCACCCAGTTCTTGTTAAACAACAAAGGACTCACCCAGGAGAGCTTTGGAAGAGACCTGTGTGAAACAAAGTTCAACATTAAGTTATTCCATTATCCTCAAAATGATGTATTATGTGAACATAACTAAGAGGTTTATGTGCCTTAACATAACCAAACTAATTATGTTGGCAACATGTTACAAATGTCGTAAATAGACCCAGAAACTCACAGGATTGGGTACCCAGAAATGCACTTTACCAATCGGTTGCAATGATAAAATGTATGAATAGAAGGACTGGACGGAGAACACATTAACACCACAAAAATCCAAATAATGACCATAAAAATGATTCACAATTGATCAGGGTAGTTCAGGGTCCGCTCTCCCTCCCCTAAGTGTTGTTTCTGTGCTGCATTCAATGGACAGGATCAGAGCTCATATATAGAATAAATGCATTTGTAGACAGACTTTGACACAAGACCAGCGGAGAAGACACACATACATTCACACAGAGATCAAGAAACAGTTCCTTTTCCAACCATGAATAAATGGGACATATATTCTCCTATGAATAAACTGACGGGTAAATTAGATTCAGTGACATGTAATTTCATCCTAACTGCCATTTTTCTCGCCTTCATTTGAACTCAGAGTTGCTCCAATGATTTTCAAACTTTAAAAACTTACTTCAACAGTGATATCTTTGGTAGAAGTTGCCATAAGACCTAAAGTAAGCAAAATGCTTCATTATTTGGTAATAAGCCCAGTTGGGTGTGGGCAGTCGGAATGCCCAGGGAGACATTTTGTTCATTTAGCGAAGGCCGATGGAACATGTTGAGGCATCAAACATTTTGAACCAAATCCCAGACCGGAAATTTGCAACAATTTGTAAATTTCATTATGAGCAAGCACATATTCATAGCCCATTAGAGCACAAAGGTCAACTCGCGTGGCTCCAGGACTCGCTTTTTCCTGACCCTCTCTCTCTTTGCTGCAGCCCATGCTCTGTGTGCATATTAATGAATGGTCAACATCCATTTCTCGAAGTAAGAACTTTGCATAGCCTAGCCAGGAGAGTCTTTATTCACAATGGGACAGGTCAAACATCCGGGATGTAGCAGCAGTCTGTCATTCAGAGTATATGGACCGTGGAGCAGGCGGTAATAGATGGCACTGTAATTCCAAAGGCTTCCCTCTATGATATAATGATGTGAATGAGTGGGCAGCCTGACAACAAGATAATCGGATCAAGGCTTGATGGACAGGCACTTTCAAAGAATCTGTAATTTAGGCAGGGCTTGTTCTGCAGAGAAGATGCATACAGATCGGTAGAAAGTGTTCATGCAAATCCAAGTGACCTAAATAAAGCGCTATGGAGCGGGAAAGAAGACTCACAAAATACAGCCAAATTTAAGACAAAGGGCTCTTTTGTCTTTTGTTCTTTTTGTCGTCATTGCTCTTTAAAGGGCAGATTTGAAGGGTTACGAATTGTCTCCTTATTGTCTTTCTTCCAATACAATGACAATGAGGTCAGAGCGCCCACTAAAAATGAAATGTGATCCTAGCGGTTTACATCCATGTTTAGTTACTCATGGATGTCAAAGATAAACAAACAGACAAGGCAACAAAGAGTTCATAAGGCAGAAATCTACTGTATAGCAGCTTCATAAATATACATGTTTACAGACCAGTTCAAAAAACTGTTTTAGTATAGCTCATTAAATTATTGGGAAAATCTGAATGGAGGGGGATTTTTTTAAATCATTTATACATTTTGAATATGATTCAGAATTTTCATTATTAGGCACAATAAAGTTTGTATCAGATTTAACTGACAGATGGGCACGTTGTAGCCAGGAGGCTTAATGCAGCCACAACTCCACCTCTTCACCAGTTTCTAGATTGACCAGAAGTGGGGTAAAGTCAGCATTTCCAATATGGCTACCGCCATCGCTAGGCTTCATATGGCCTGCTCAGACACCAATGGGTGACATCACTGAGACTATGTCCATGTTTTTTAGAGTCTATGGGTTGTATAAATCCTACATTTACATCTGAAGATTATAACCTCAAAGTTTGATGTTCACTATGCAAGTGATGGTCCCTTTTCCTTTTGACAAAAAATCTCATCCTGCTATATTTAAACTGTCAAAAGTTGTTTTTTTTAATAGGCTGTTTCTGCAAGGTGTTTTTACCAATTAATAAACGGCATTGCCTCGTCTGACAACCCCCAGAAGTTGTCAGACGAGGCATTGAAAATAATTAAATAGAAATGGTCATTTTTATACTAATGGTCTTGTTTGCCTTTTTATCTTATAAAGAGACATTCATCTTATTTTCAGTTTGTTTCATAACCAGTTGAAACAAGACACAGCTAAAAGTGGCCATTGTACATACTCCACGAGGTTGCATTTGCTGACATAGGTGAAAGAAGTCCAAAGCCAATCCCATTAGACAATTAGACAGAACAGAGCTGTTAAACTGTTGTTATAACAATGACAGTAAAGATATATTCTAATTAATTAGCATCCAACACTCTGAGGGTGGAAGTTAAAAAGTTTGGTGGCCAAAGCCAAGAAGGAGTTTTACAGTGAATGCTCTCCTGAGCTTGACAAGCCTGAGCTTGAGTGGGTGGGAGACACTGGCCAAGGTGACATGTAACTTCAGCAGCACCCTTCTTTTTGTCACAATATCTAAGAGTCCAACTCCTCCCTTAAGTCACTGGCATTGCAGATCAGTTTGTTGAGGTAATTGGCGTTGGCTGCCTGTATTGCCTACTATGCAAACAAGATAGCATGCCAGACTTGTTTAACATTTTCAGTGCTTTACAGCAGATGCTGAAGGCATTCAGAATCCTAAGATTCACCGTTCTAAACCCAGTCTAGCTTATTAACAATATATTGTCCATGGTACTTTTAGGCCTCTACAATAATGATACTTAACCCCTTGAGGTTGTATGTGCAATGAGTCTCCTCAGCTCGACAGCCAAACTTAATTTGCATTGTCATACTGAGCCATTGATGGTTCTGCTAATACTGACATAATTAACCTCCTCAATCATGTCCTTAACCTACTCACCCTTAAGCCATTTTCACACATGAACTTGGACAATATTGGAATAATCAGCTCCAGCTATATTCCAGATTTTCCATTTCACATGCATTGCACATAGAGTGATTTGTGGATAGAAAACACATTCCCAACGACTCAGATTAACTGGGAGTAAGCTGGGTAGAGCCAGAAGAGGAGAGGGACAATGACTCTTCCCTTAAAGCGATTGTTTCCTGTGGATGTCACTACAAAATATGATCTACAAAACAAATGCAAGAGCAATCTCTGGATCATGAATGACATCATTAACGTATATATACTCTCTCACTCTCTCATACAGATTTTTTTACTGGGCTGCTGGCAAGTTAAAGCCTGTTTAAAGTTCTGGAACCAGACATTTGCATTCCCACATGCAGCCCCAACACACATGGCTTTCAATTTTGAGGAGTGCAGTGCATGCTTGAAAGGGGTTTTACTGTTTTTCTTTTTACAGATCCATGCATGGCAAAGTAATTTAAGAACTAAATGACAAGACTGGTATGAACTGGCATGTAAGCTCTGTGCTGTACAGCAAGAAAAGAAAGTAAACAAACTCTGTCTACCAATCAAGTAGTTGACAATCCTGCACACAAGGGTGGAGGGGTGGTAATCCTCGAGAGAAAGTACAGTTTGCATGCAAAAGCATCAAATAAACAACCATATCTGTCAAGGCTTAAGAAGGGATAATGGATCTTTCATATAATAAGAACACTTTGCCAAAGTAGTGCGAAGCAAATGTCACAACCTTCTTCCGAGAGAATATAATTAAAGTGCCACAGAGGTGGAGAGGATTGGAGTTCACTATGATGCTGAGTGAACACTCGATTACACCGCTGTAATCCAGCAGAGAGTCTCCGAGACAGAAAGCTGTGCAGAAGCTTCATTGGCTTTATCAGATAATGAGCGTCGCCTCTGGCACAACAGAGTAAAGTCTTGATAAAAGGTTTTCCATCCAGGTCAGTGTAATTGTACAAGCATGGGTAACTAGTGTTGTTATAATTAAGGGCATGTGTTGTACACAGGTAGAAAAAAAGAACACACCCTAAGAACTTCTTTTGGATGGATGGGAGGAATCAGAATACATCCTTCTTGCTCAATTTGATCTGATTATTTAACTTCTTGTAGAATAATCATCTATAGACCTTCTTTAATGAGTCAGTGTTGTGTCTATGAAAGATTAGGGTAAAACTGATTTGTGCAGTGACTCCAGTCCTTCAGTGTCTTTGTAATAAACAGAACAAAGCACTGCAGTTAAAGACAAACACCTACGAGAAATAAAGAGTCTAGACTCAAAATGCCAAGGTACAGAGCCAAGGTACATTTCATAAGCTATTTAGTTTCTGAGTTTTATTACTCAGGCCAGATAGACTGGAGAGAAAGATAGAAAGCACCTCTGGCCAATAGCTCTCTTTCTTCTTCTCTGTTCTCAAGGGCATGAGACTGGCCAATTCTCCTCAGCCACTGACTCATTTTTCAAGAGTATGATGGGAAATGAGTCTAAAAATTGTGGAAAATCCTGAACATACAAAGGATATTACAGAATTTTAGGACTAGAGGAGGATATAAACCTATAAATGTTTTTTACTCTACTAGTTGTTACTTCCTGAGTTTATGGGAACTGTCTGGATCAATAAGAGAGCCAACTAGTCAAGAGACTTGTGACCTTAAGAAGTATTTAGGTCTAGACGTGTATATTTTAAGTCCAAGAGGCGGCTCCATACCATCATGTTTGTATATATTTAAGGTTCAAGTTTGTAGATAAAGAGAATAGGACTTCTTCAACAAACGCATTACCAAATTGTTGTACAGGCCATTTTGGTCAGTGGGCCTACAACTAAAAGTATAATGATCCAGGTTTCAATTAAGGCTACTTCCTGAGTGCTTTCCTTAAGATATAGCTCTAGCTCTGTTTAGATGTACTGTCAAGGTTAGATGATAAAGTATAAAAAGTGCCAACGTCTGCCTGTGACAATAGTCTAGGCTAGACTTGTGATTATGTCCAGACTGGGGTTCCTTTGAAGCCAACAGCTTCTGATGATTCATTCAAACCTATAACATGGTCTTTTATTTACCTAATATAAAGGTGCCATTAAATAACCAAGCAGGTTTTGTCCTTTACATAACCAAACAACTGTGACATAACATGGACCCTATGTTTTATATAGCTACATGTATAAAACTCATGAATCATTCATTTTTCTCAGAAAACGTAACTTGTAGTCTAACTAGAGATTGCTGATTTATTATTGATGACCTGATGGCTTTATTACGAGTCTAACCTGGCAGTGTGTAATGATATTTGTCAACTTTATGAAAGTGTGTCCATGGCTATTGACACAAGAGTGGTATACCAACATTTTCAAGTTCTAAAGGATAGGGCCCTAGCCAAGATTCTGTGTGTGGTGATGTATAACTTTGTACATTGGACTTTCTTTATTCCTTTAGTTTTAGGTTGAGACCACACTAAGAAGTAAAACTCTGATATTGCATATTCCCTCTTTGTCACAAAGTCACAGCAACTGTCCCAAGACTCCTTTCTTTTAAATTAAATTCAGCATATTCATAGATTGGTTGCAGCTGGGACTTAGTGGGAGTGTTGATTGCAGTCAAACTTGAAACACTGAGGACAAAAAAACATTTTTAATTACATGTAATACACAAGATCAAGATTTGAGGCTAACTACAGATAGCTGTGGCCTTTTAAGTTAAAGCAATATAGGAGTGTAAAATACTTTTGGTGTACTTTTGCCGACAAATGCTTATCCCACATACTTGTGTACAGTTTAAAAATCAAACGGCAGTAACTCATTAATGATAGACGATTAAAAATGTTTTTTTGGGATGAAAACATGCAGAACTACACAACATTCACAGTAATTTTGCTGTCATGTCAAAGTTCTCTTGCATCACTCTTTTTCTTTCTTTCTTTCTTCTATAGGAGGCGCAGAGAAAAGCTCCAGGCCCACTTGAAGGAGAGTCGCACTTTGAAAAACTACTCCGTTAATTCCCATAATGCCTTGGATGGCAAGATGAGGGCCCCTAACAGCAACCTGCAAATGCATGAGGTAATTGCAGTTTTTCTTTCCTTTGCCCATCTCGACCTTCTTTACAAGTGCTGCTGTCTGCTTTTGAATGACAACTATACATATGCACTCCATTCAGATGGAAAACTGTACTCTTCTCTGTACTTCAGAGTGCTTCCATTTCATTCCTTTAAGACTGGTTTAATTATTCTGACTCCTTAAATAAGACTTTTACGACAGAAAATGGGCGGAACATTTTTGCAGTGTCTGCACAAAATATTTTGGTTTTATGCTTTTTGGGAAGGAAAAAAAAAATTAGAACTCATAGAAGACTTAGATGAGTGAAAGTTGGGTGACACAAAACTTGAGCTGTTTTACAAAAAAATCTAATAAAAAGAGGGCAAATTGTTAACATATTATAACATTCAATACATGTCTCTTTTACTGCCAGTTGCAGTGATTTAAAGTATTTTGTTTAATGTGTTAAATGTTCAACCATTGAGAATTGGTTAGCAGTAGTGTGAAGATAATGACACATCAGATCTGCAGTACAGAAGGAATACCGCAAAGTGTTAGCATGTCTCATAGAATTCATCACTCTCCTGCAGTTTTTAGCTGCATATGAATCAGTGTGTATCCCCACCTCCACCTGGCCACTTGCATCATGCTCACAGGTCTTTGAGCGAGCAATCGTTCAGTGGTTTGGGAGCACAGTGCACGCTAGCAATGTCATTCATCATCCTCTCTGCACTCTGTGTCATCGCATCTCTCCCAGATGTGCGTCTTTGGACTTGCTGCCGTGGAAAAACATTACCGTAATTTGAATGTCAGTCAAAATCACATCTTCCATCGCCTTGGGGGAGTGTCTATGTGTGTAATCTGTGCATTGCTGGGAACAAATTGGCTTTAACCATTTTACATGTTTATTATGTAAGTTACCTATCTAATCTGCACAGGTTTGACACAAAGCTTTATTGGAGGATATGTGTGTTTCCTCTAAGGACATGATTTGAATGTACAATGAGGCCAAGCACATGTGCTGTTGGCCTCATGTTGTACTGTGGGGAGTTCACTCCATATAAACCCATTTTTAAACACAAGATGGATAAATCACAAGGATAGACAGACCAATGCCAAGCTAACTATAGATAGACTGACATCACATACAGACATGCAAGTGGTTTTAATCTTGTCATCTTGCTCCAAACAGCAGGGTAAATAATCATATTCACTCACTAAAATGTAACAAAATGTTTTTTTCATTGAGGTGACAAATAATTTGTAAGGTCTATAACCACTTGAAATATTCTACAATCCTTTGGATGGTATCCAAGCTCAAGAGTTTTATGATCAAACTTTCTGAACACCTCTTTGAAGTTATTTCTCTCCGATTATAGAATTATGAGCCAGGCTTGTCACTTCATGCTTAAGTATGAGCAGCAAGGTGACAATTTATTGTGTACAATTATTGCATGTCCTTTTTGAAACAACAGGTTAAAGAAATAAAATGTCTTAACAGAGCAGATTCTATCATCTCAAATCTTGGGTTGATAAGAGAAAACTCTCCTGTGGTTCTACAGATTCAGTTTCCAAAGGGTTAAGATCTAGCTTTGAGATAAAGTTAACTAGGTTTGCTCATTCAAATTACCCAAAAACTGATGCTTTGCAAAAGCCATGATAAACCTGCTACAGTCCTCCAACCACCAACCACAAGTCGATCGCCAATGCATGCTATAGCAGATGGGACTTATTAAAGATTAAACCTAACTGTGACCATAAATAGATATTTACAAGTCAAAACTATTTTCATGTTTTTAAGCAATCAGAAGAAAATGTATGAATTACATTTGTAGATACAGACAGTTAACCAATAAACGATTAGTGAATTGTGCACCCATTCAAATAAATCATTTCTATGTTTAAGCCTGACAATTGACTCTTAATAGAACTTCAATTTACTAAATACACAAAATTAAAGATGCACTCAGATGTGTCACATCTGGACACATCTACATTTTGCACTCAAATCTTCACATTTCAGCTCTTTAGGCACATCATTGTTTCTTTTTCTTTCACATTTTTTTAAATCATTTTTTTACTTTCCTTATTTGGAGGTCAATTGAAGGAAATGTTCAAACTTACTGCTCTGTAAACTCCATTTTCTGAAGTCAGCCAGGAACTTCGTTCAAACTTTAAATGGGTCACTGCACTTTATCATTTCACTTCAGCCTTCACATATCTCTTCTTTGATATGTTCTGAGGTTAGGCTCCAACCAGAGGTTTTGAGACATATGGTGGGTACAGTTAAACATTCTGAACAAATAATCTAGGAAATGTTCATGCAGCTCTTTATTAAATCCAAACATTAAATATAATCTCTAGCCCTCTGATGTATGACCTTTAAATTGATATTAAAATTTACATTTATAGATCAAGGCTAAACAGCTTTTTCCCTACTGCTCTCCTCTTATTTAAACATGAGTTCACAAGACTCCACATCATTTATGGTTTCCCATTTCTAACTTAAATGTTTTCTACCAAACAGTTGAAGAAGTGTTTAAACTAAAGGAATAACTAACTACACATCTGTCTCATTAAACGTCTCTTCAGGTCTAGCTCTGTTAGCATCACAGCAGAGTAGCTGGGTGGTTAGCACTGCTGGGGGTTCGCACTGTTGGTTCACAAGTAAGAAGGCTTAACCACCATTACAGCATACTGACAGACTTCTGACTCTTCACAGCGTGTTGAGCAAATACTCATCTGTTTGATGAGCCATTGTTTGTAAATTTCCGAAGAGAGGCAGACAGATCTTTCTCATCCAGGAGTTCAGGCTAATACGAATTAGCGCTGTGCCATGTTAACACTACAAAAAGGAAAAAGTTAGATAAAAATAAAACAACAGCTTTTTTGGTGAAGAATCTGCTTGGCAAGTTGTTTGACTAATATGTTAGGCAAATGGCTAACAAGCTAGCAAATAATTCACACATTTAACAAGACTTTTAGTTGCAATTATCACAATAGCAGTGAGAGCTAGCTTAGTCTACTCTCAGCCTCCTAGCTTGTAAGCTTTGACTTCACACAACTCTGTGACATATTTTTTTAATAGACATATTTGTATTTGATTCTTCAAAACAAGATTTTGCATATGTGGCTCAATACCAAAAAAGATTGAGCTAACCCGCATTAGCATTCTTCATTTAAGACTTTAAAGTTCACATTACTTTAAAAGTAAGTAGGCCTACTGTCTAGGAAGTTTTCTGGCATACATTTCAAATTTAGAAAAGTTAAACATGTCACCACTTATCTAAGGGAAGTAACTGAGCAAAATCTGTGTTTTTAATGCACAGTTTCAATTACAATTTTAAATGCTGTGCCTTTTTGTATTGTATTAAGATTTAACTTTCCTTGTTGTATAGGTAAAGGTGCACTATGGAGTTGTGGTAGAGAAATGTGAAAGTTGGAGAATGTACAGATTATGTGGTAAATGTTCATGACTCTATACACAAACTGTCCTCAGAGGAAAATTTGGTCCCTGGATCACTGATAAAATGTTACACGAGATGTTTTGGTTGGAGGCCCGCAACAGTGCAACCATAACTCTCCTGGTAGCTTTTTAGCTCCAAACATTGTTCCTGGGACCTATTTTTTCCTTTGAATCAAGTTTGTGTTTTCAGTTCAGAGAATATAGCAGAGAATTGTTTCACTTCTCCAACTTTCAAATTTCATTTGAAAGTTGTACATAGTGCACCTTTAATGATGTTTATGACAGTTGTGTGGAAGTCATATAGCACATTTGATAATCTCTTCTGCCAAGTACAGGAAAATGAATAGAATGTGATAATATACAATTTTATGAACTACAATAAAATCACATTATACTGAAACAAAATCAAAAGCAGTCCTTGGCACTATTTTGCTAAATCTTCAATAAGCTCTGGTCTGTGACCTCGTGATTATTACAGAATGTATTGTTGAGAAATAGGCTGACCTTCAGTGTATAAAGCTTGCTTTTTAATGTTGTTATATTTATTTAATTTTAACAAGAGCCTTTGAGGAACTGGCATGCAAATGAGTTGTACTTGTTTATTTTTCGCCTCCACACTCTGAATTACATTGATTTCTGTCTTCAGGCAATCGATTATCAAAATATCTGAACACAGAGTGACAAACACAGGGTCAGTGGTTCTGAGCATGTACTCACACTACAGATTGTATTCTGAAAGATTGTATTCTTTCAGTATTAAGTATATTTCTGTTGACTTTGCCATAACTGAGTCCCAATTTTCCTTTTTATATAACTTTAAAGGTGAGTCTAGGAAGCATTTAAGCAAATGTAGAAGTCCAAAAGTACCTCAAATAATCAGGCAGGACAGAAGCACCCAGCAGGTTGTCCAAATGAGCACTTCTGATTAGCACCACAGGGTCCTTTGTTGGAAGTGTTTGATTAAACAGAGAATAAAAGAGCAGTTCTGACTGAGCCGCCTTTCTCAATCAATCAGCTTCACCACCCTGTCATGTATTCCTCAGGTTTTTCCTCAGAGTCTGTCTATCATTGGCACGTAGTTTTTCACAGCTCTGTCTCTGTCAGAGAGGATCCTGAGCCTGCTCTACCAGGCTTAGAGGCCTGAGACTATCGTGTGTGTGTGTGTGTTCGTGTAGCTGATTGTGTTTATAACGCTGTAAATCATAAAAAGAATTTCCTGGTTCCCTCCGGTTAGTCTGTCAGGGTTAAAAATGCTCAACACCAGAGGTCTTTGGTATAAGCTAGTCCCCTCTCTCAGAGATTAAAACACCCATTACAGCACACACACACATACACATACCCATTAATTCACGCCATTACATGATCCCTTTGTACCCCCGATTGTCCAGACACGGTGTGAACTCCCTGTCAAAGCAATGATTACTTTTGCCTTTTATATCTGTGTGCATCCATGGATCTAGAGAGCAGAGTTTCTTTGCCTGCAGCTGTGCGAGAAAACATTACATCTGTATTGATGACCTCCATAAACAGTCGATATTGCTGTGTGACACATGCACACAGTTTCAGTTTTTGTCCTTGAGCACTCTTTCCAAAGCCTAATTCTATTTTCGCTGAACAACACAGCGGCAGCACAAACAGATTAAAGGCACTTCTCCCACTTTTTTAATGGTTCATAACATATAAATTAGTTAGTCTTTGAAAGCAAAGCCATTGCACTTTGAGAATCTGTCAGTTAAGGTTAAGAGGGGAAATTACTCTGTCATCCATTTTTACTTAGGTTTACATAGCTGTCCATTGTTCCACTGTTAAAAACTTCCCTTTTAGCTTCATCACAGGCTTAGAAAGGAACAATTTTTCACTTGAAGCATCTCTTATCAATTAGCCGCTTGCATAAGTGCAGCAGAGGGGAATGCAGACTGAGACGTTCTTTTTTATTTGCTCTCATATGCATGCTCTTCTTTTTGTCTTTTTACTGCAGCAACACTCGCATTTCCCCACTGGGGATCATAAAGCATTATCTTATCTTATCTTATTTAGTGGTAGTAAGGGAAAATTTTGCCTAGCAATGTGTTTAAAATGTGAAACTACCTCAGCATTTTGGAAGTGTTACAGCTAATAAAGCTCTAAATAATTGCCTAACTAATCTCTAATCAGTGCTTAACAGACCCCGATAGCAAAACAATAACCACAGGAATCATGAAATAAATCTGACATTTTTTTTAAAATAATATTATAACCACAGCGAATTAAGGAAATGCTCTTTGAAAGAAAAAATGTGTAACAAACATTCCGGCCCCCTCAATAGGTGCACACTGTATTGTCATAAAAATACCTTCAGTGATAATCTGTATCATTCCTCATAGTCTTGATGATGATTTAGCAATCTGCTCCATTTAAATATCTTTATATCAAACTGTAAAAGATTAAACATCCATCCATTATCCATACCGCTTTTCCCTTTCGGGGTTATGGGGTCTGGGGCCAATCCCAGCTGTCATTTGGCGGAGGCAGGGAACACACATGCCTGTCAATCACAGGGCTGTCTTTGTACTGTGCGAGGAAGCCGGTAGACCCGTAGAGAACCCAGGCATGCACAGGGAGAAGATGCAAACTATACACAGGAAGGCTTCTGTCCGACAGGAACTCGATGCAGGATTAGGTGGTTAGGGTTAGGGTTAGGGTTAGGGTTAACCAACCCAATGGGGATTTGAACCAGGAATGTTCTTTCTGGGAGGCAACAGCTCTAACACCGTGCAGCCCAATTTTAAACATGTCAAAGACTTGAAGTCTAAAGTGAATCAGAGGAGCTCATAACAAAACTGTTTTTGTATCATCTATATTCTTATTTCAGTGGGGATGGTAGTCCACATACATTTCAAGTTATAACAGAGAATATGTCAGGGTTTTATAAACTCAAATCAGCCTTCAAACGTCTGAATGGTCACATAACTTTGGCAGCATGTGTGACTCTAATGAGGCTGGTGTCCTGCAGAGGGCCCTCAAAAAGGGATTGCGTCAGTGATAGCCTTGTTAGTCAGAGATATAACTCAGAATTTTAAATCAAGAAAAACACCACAAAAAAAAGTTATTTCTTCGAAGAAAAAAAATTGCAGAGAAACAGGTCCCTCTTACCTTGTGTTACAAAAGTGTCTAGACGATAGCGAGACAATGCTGAGAAGAGAAAACTGTAACAGTCTGGTAGACGCTAACTACAGACAGGTTTTCGTAACAGATAAGAAATCAAACCAGCATCAGCCGCTTTACATCTTTACAGCTTTCAGAGTTTAAAGCCTGCAAGTCTTTGTTGTGTTGTCCTGTGTTCGTCTGCAGATCTTTGCTGCTGTGTAAGTGAGTGAGTCTGCCTCGTCATCTGTATTGTGAAGTGCCGAACAAAGAAATGTTTTGTTTTGTTGTGCATTAGTCTCAGTGGAGATCGGGACGTACATGAAGATAGTTAAAAAGGGGGGGGGGGGGGGGGGGGGGGGTGTAGATCTCCTTTTTATGATTACATGAGGAATCAAAAGAGACTGATATCAAAAGAGAGAAACGTAAACAGTGTTATTAGAAAAAGAACATGTTTAAGACTAAATAAGGGAGGATAAGGACTTTGTTTCAAAGTCCTTATCCTCCCTTATTCACAGATTCCCTCGATTCATCTGTTCAAAAATCGCGTCGCCACCTTGGTCGAACAGTCTCTCAAAGAAGACCGCGCCAACCATGATGGTTATCGCGAAGGTTGACGTCCTCCTGAAGAGCTGTACTTTGTTTCAAAGTACAGCAGTGGGACAAAATACCATAAACGCCGTCCGAAGTGAAAAAAACAATATCACAAGTTAAAAGGAAGCATTAAATTCTTCCTCTCTGAATGTTTAAATTCTCAGTTTAATCTGAATATTTCTTAATGTTCCACAATAAATAGAAACACTGAGAGCTAAATTACACCGATTTACATATTAACCAGCCAGCTGTGTTGAATCCAGGCATTCAGAGGCCTAATTAATGATTCATTTCATGGTGTGTTTGCATTACTTCATGTATAAGGGACATAGACAATAGGACATGGAACAAGAAGCTAGTTTGATGTGCAAATGATGTGATTGTGACTTTGCATGGCAACAAAGGATGCAATCAGAGAGTCAATTTATAAATGTTGTCAATAATTTAAGACCTTGAAATATGTATTTTCCTCGGTTTTTGTAGGCAACTGTTTGTGTTAACCAATGATTTTCCATTTTAAAAAATCACAATGATGTTTATCTCTGATCTACATTTGGTTCGGGACTCAACTTTCACCAATGAAAACCAGCCTTTATGGGATTTGCCCTTATCTTTGTTCTGCAAGGGCAAGCAACATGACTCAAGACAAAGAAACAGATCCAAACCATTGGGTTATGTTTCATTCATAAGAAGCAACGTATGTATTCATACAATCCCAATAATAGTGGATGCTTTGCTAAATTGAGTAGATAATCAGATGGCTCATACATATGAAAAAGTGCAATTTTGTTGAAGCAGTCTTTTACAGAGAGTTGCCATCACTCCAAGGGGAAGTATATATAGTACTTTAAAACCAGGGCCCTATTTGTTTGAGGCCATTCTCATTATCTGTAAGAGTTAGAAGGTTTTATTTTTATTTTTTTCCAGGAAGTGCTTCAGCCAGGTGCTCGAAAGCAGCTGTAACATACTCCTCTTGGGAAATGCTTCCCCTCAGAGTATATATGTTTGATTTTAAAAAGGTTTCGTTTTGCTACTGAAATATTGATTTGAAGATTAATTGTCAGGCATAATTATACCAATTCGACTCTCCAGCTCCAGGTTATTACCATTTTCTTCCTGCAACAAGTTACTTCACCTCATTTGATTTCAGAGGTATATTTTAAAAACATTGATTTTGTTCTTCAACGAGATCTCTGCTAGAATCCATTCCACAATGATATCAGACACTTGTAGTACCTCAGAGCCTCATCAGTGGAAGAATGTTTTTTTTGAGCAGGTGGAGCGGAGAATGTTGCTGTCATTGGTTCTCTATGTGGCTGCAGGCTAAAGCAGTCTTATGAAACAATTCTGAATTCATTTTAAATACATTTTGAAACCAATTCAAAACTTTCATGTTCCTTTTAGTCGATAAGGTCACAAAATGTGTAAAAAATCAAATAAAAAAACCAGGCTTAAAAGTACATGAATTTCCGTTTTTAAGACGTTTGTCTCATACCTCTTCAACATCATAAACCCAGGCATGGTGCATTAATCCTCCCAGGTCTCTATCTTTTGCGCAGCTATAGCTATTCAGCCATTGTTAACATGTCTGGACTTCAGTGAAGCTGCATGTTGTTGTGATGTTTTGTCTGAAATTGTAATGTGCTTTATTTGATCAAACTGTCAGCAGCCTCCTTTTGTTCTTCTGACAGTGCATTAAAGCTCAATCCCAGAAAAGGAGATCTGCGAAGGAGGGAGCAATAAATGTAAGCTTACTCCACTTAGAGTGTAGAGCCAGTTCCAGTATTCAAGGAGGCAGGAACCCTTCATTTCCCATGAATAGGAGTGTGAGAAAGAGCTGGAGGAGGTTTATAGACTAGATCTAAGAAAACTCAATATGTCTTTAGTTTAAGAAGGAAACAAACTTTGATTCTGATGTCTGTAACATCTTCTGTAGAAATCTCTCTGAAGGGACTCCTCTTTACATGCGAGGTGCGACTAAACTTGTGATGGTTTTGTTTTTCTTGTTTCTGCAGTACTCCAAACGGTCGTCCCAGTCTCGCCCGGGGAATGTTTGTGAGTCCAGCTTTCCACACTGCAACATCTCCACCACGCCGTCCAACAGCTCCCGCATAGCAAAACATCACAGGTATGATAGTTATTTGTGCACACACACACATCAGTGTATAATGTAAGTTTGTCAGTAGAGACACAGCTGTCCCCTCAGTCGCTGCAGGAAACAGCATTCATGCAAATTACAGCAACAATAGGAAACTTCAGTGTCCTTTCCTCTAATCAGCAAGGACGCAGTGAAGAGAGTAATTAAATTATCCCCATTACAGTGCATCCAAAGCTAATTGCTGATTCACGGAAGAATGATAGTAATTATAATTAAAGCTATAACATGTTAATAAGCATATCTATAACAGTCATGAACACAGAAGATGCGACACAGATAAAAAAAGGGGGGCATGTGTGCAGAGATTTATGAGCCAGGGCAAAAGTGAAAATCTCAGAAAGCTTTCTCTCACACTGCTCAGTGGTGTGTGTGTTGGCATGTTCATCATCAAGAATACATTCCAACACACTCTTGAGTGCTTACTTCTGACAGAATTCACGCTTTGTCAGAGCTGGATTTTCTTTTACAAGACACACAAATACATTTGAAGAGAATGGAGCTCCTACAGATCAAGTTTTTTTTAGTATTTTCTATACATATTGAAAGTAAAAAACATAAAATCCTGCCCCTGTTTTTCTGTTTAATGTATGTGTAATGTATTATGAGAAAAAATACATTATTTTAGAGAAAATGACATTTTTCCAAGTTTCATGGCTGGAGGGGAACATAAATAAAAGGCACACAAAACCTCCTTTTTTGACCATGCTCTTTGTCACCATTCTTCAGTTGCAGGTATTCACCCCTGAGGGCTCAGTGTACCCATGGTTTCCTACCTCTAAACCACTAAGAAACTCCACCAGGGCAGCTGGGGGTTAATCACCTTTTTTCAAGGGGATCCAAGCTCTAGTTGAGAGAGAGATTTTCCCAGACAAGCCAGAAATTCAATCAGACAACCATCAAACCACAAAGTCTCCTTCTCTTTTTGCAGAACTCTTGCAATACTTTCTTCATTTCTATCCAGTTCCTACTCCATCTGCTAAGATGATCACAAGGATACTTATCCAGCAGTCTGTGGATCTTACCACAAATGACATTCTTAGGGGGCGATCAGAGTTTATGCGGTTGCAATCACCTTAGCTTAGGCAGCGACTTGGACTCTATATTCAGGGTAGTGTGTTGGGATCCCACAGTCAAGAATGTCCCAGGAGAAATCTCCAACGGCTATGTCTGTATTTGCAGAATTTTCTGATTTAAATGCCCTTATTATAAAACACAATTAAGTGCTTGACTGACTGCCATTCTATCCATTTCATTTTGAGTTATTTTATGAACAGTTATGCATTCCAACCACAGTAATACAGCCGAGCTGACGCAAAAGAACTACATCTGAGCCTTTTTACTGTTGCATGGGGAACTTCCATTTACTTTAATTTTGACTATCCAGCCTTTTCTAAGCTCCATTAGGAAAATGAAACATACTCACAAGGGAGGGGTGTAGAGAACCAGTACTACATTTGGCCCAGTTCCTAAATAGTCTGTAACAAAATATTTTCCAAACACTTAATTTTTATGTTCCTAAATAATATAATTGGCAAGATCCGTCAAGCAGAGGTACTCCAAAATTCATGTAAATTTTTTTGGGCTATTTGCACGTTGGAGACCTTCATCAATAACCATCATCAATAAGACTATCGATTGGTAACAAGCAGTACAAGTATCAATATTGGTATCAATAAAATCCTAATAGAACGTATCCCTGATGAAAGGGCTGTAGGTTAAAGATTGTCTACTTAAGACTTGTAACTATCCTCCATAGATTCTGGGATTATTGGCTTGCATTGGCTTTAATTTAATCTGCTGATAAAGTCAAGTTAAATCAAGTTTATTTTAAGAGCACTTCAGCATTTCAGCAACAAGGCAATTCAAAGTGTTTCACATTCAAAGTGTTTCACAGAAGACATCAATAGCATCAAAACAAAGAGAAAAAAACCTTCAAAGAAACCATTGACAATCACAGAATAGATTAATTATGAAAATGTTATATACAATTAAAATAGAAAAATACACAAGAAATACAAAAGTATGACATTCAGCCATAAAAGACACATAAAGACAAAATATATAAATAACTTCAAATGTGCAATGGTGATGTTATCTGCTCTCAGTGCCTTTCAATGTTATATTGCTCTGAAGTGCCCGATAAATGCATTGGGTCCAAATTTCCAATCCAAAATAGAGCGATAAAAATCTGTCCAAACCATATGTGTATAAATAAGTTCTAAAAGAGGGAGACCAATCCAGAAATGGCTGGAGAACAAAAAGACCAGTGGGTGATTAGAACTGATCCAAGTTTAGGTGACCTGAACAAACAACAATAAACAGTGTTGACTGCAAAATTCACAACTTATAAAGAAGCACAATAAAATATTAATAATACATCTACTCTGTACTCGCATCCCAAAAACACATCTTATGAGATGATGATGGAGAACTCTTAAATAGTGTAGACAGTAAATGATAACTTCATCAAATACTAACACTTTTTAATTACAGTATGAACCTGAATACAACTGAAATTGAGACGTAAAGACACAAGAGTTGATAAGCCTCATTAATATGGATTTTAATGAGACATTTGTATGTTTTATAACTTTTGGGCAAATAATGGCAGACTTCACAAAAACAACTAATTAATCCACAAAATATAAATAGGGACTCAGAATAATGTATGCCCAGACAATTTCCTACAAATGATTTCAGAGAAGGATTTAGATGCTTTGACTCCACGTTTCAACAATGTGCCATGGTGTGCATGGAAAAGCAAAATGGCATCATACAGGGTTTAAGAAAATTGCATGCAAAACAAAGCCAATAATATGCAACACAAAAGAAGAAAAACCTAGTGGTTTCAAAATGAACTGCAACTTTTCCTCAAGTTCTAATAACATGTTTACAATTCCGCTTGACTTGGCATGAGAACCTTACTAACACACTTAATTCAAAATCTGGCCCTCGCCTAACTCAAGTCTTGTTTTGAATAAAGGTTTAAAACCAGCCAAATATGTAATAGTCCAATGTTGATGGAAAACTATATCAGAAAAATATGTTTTACAATAACCCTTGAATCTTGTTTTCTTTTTTTTCTCAGAAGCGGTTCCTTGTCTCACATCTCAGATCAGAGAACCAGGACAGGCCATTGGTCTGCTCCAAGGAGGACCCCACCCATTCCCAGGGGAAGGCTAAATGCAATTGGAGGATCCAAGTATTTGGGCCCTGCCTACCAACATCTACAGGAAGTAGATGCAACTGAAAGGGAGGCTGAGGCACAGAGAGGGTGAGTAGACAAGACTGTATGCTTAGATAGATATACCTAGTGAAGCAGACCATAGGAACTCAGTGTTACAGACTCTTGCTATGCAGAAAGGCTGTTGTCGGTGAAATCCCTGCTTTAAGACTATTTTTAAGGTTCTACCCTTACTTTCTCCTTCCTCTCTGTCTCTGCTTTGCTTCTATGCTGTTTCCTCCATATGCTGACACATTTCAATGAAAGCCACTAACTGAAAAGTACAGGCCTGCCACGGACAAAGCAATGGATTTCATTTCAAGGGTGGATATTTCAAAGCCAACTCTGGGATTTTCTTTTTTTTTTAAAGACTGCATTCATTTTTTAAACTCTTTTTTACTCCCCCCCCCCATCCCTTTGTTTTTCCAATCTGCTGAGCAAAGATAAAAACAAGGTCACGTTATGTTGTGGTCTGCAGTACAGTGGCATGAGTTCAAAGAAAATGCTTTGCCTGGTGCTTGTGCTTTTAAGGACATGATGCAGGATGCACATCCAGATTCTTTAAACCCATCTCTCCCTCCCTCTCTGACGTCTTGTCATGCCTGACTAAATTCTCAGGGCTTTTTTTTTTTTTTAAGTGATGGCTTAGCAGGTAGAATAACAATTAAATCCTGCCATTCAAATGTAACACAGTAGGGGATATTTTTATAGGAGTTAGGGGATATGCAAATGATCCATTCAAATGATTAGCAAGAAGTGCATTAAGTGTGAAAGGCGCTGTGTTTTGACCTATTTTTGGCTGGTCATGAGTCAGTGCTTTACCCACCTGGACTTGTATGCCTGTCTATGGGCATTCATTTCCCAGCAGTCCCAGCTCAGGATAAAGCTCTACATGACCTAAATGCATACTAATAGAAAGCAGAACAGGAGATAGACATAGCTGGGCAAGAACAGACTCCCACATACTGTTAGCAAACGCCAACAAAAAATAGAATGTAAACTGTAATTCATGGATTTATACTGTGATGTTTAAGAACAATATCACTATTGAAAAGCACTTGGGCCGCTTAAGAATACCTTTCGTCAGCAAAAATGCTCTTTCCATCTACCCTAGTGTCACTCAAGTAACCAGTTGGTGAACCCAATATCCCTCAGTGTCCACTGGTTTTCTGGCCAGCTCAAGTGCCCTCCGAAAGCAATATTACCTGCTGGTTAGCCCAAGTGGCCTTTTGATTGGTGTGTTTTTTGTTGACCCACTCATCTTCTGATCTCCCATGGTCAATCATAGTGGCCTTCTCGTGCTTCCCCAAGTGCCAGCTGCTCTGTTCAAGTATATTGGTCTGTCCAAAGGCCCACCAAAATGTTTTCCTGATCACCAAAAGGTAATCAGCTCAGTCAAAGATCTTCTGCTTAGTTCAGATCCTCTTTAGTTGGGCTGAATATCCGCCGGTTGGGACAACTGTCTCCTGCTAAGTACAGGCATCTCAACAAATTTGTTGTTTATTTACGTCACGTCTTACGTCGGGAAATCCCCCCGCGCCCCCTCCCCTCTGACAGGGAAAGTCCCCCGCTGTGAGGAGCTTATGTGAACCGCTAGTTCGGGAAAATCTCCGGAGAAGCCCTCCTGTAAATATCTAGATATTATCCAGAGTGCATATGTGAAAACGGCTTAAGTGTACTCTAGTCAGCTGGAGCTACCTGTGGTTGACCCAAATAAGACACTGGTTCCACTGGTGAGACCATATGTGATATGGTCACTACAAGCAAAACATCAGTGCATACTACTGTGCAGAATGAAAAGTAATTAACACACACACCTCTACACCGACGCTGCATTAAAACCAGACAAGGTTTACAAGAGAATTACAGAGGAGCAGGCTGCGCTTCAAGGCAAGAGGTCATGCTCACATGCTATTCAGACATTGTTACTCAACCAATCGATTACACATAAACATTCATAAGTCAAACACTAACTCACGCTCTTTCCCTGTAATGTGTTAAGATGACTTCCTAACTTTCCCATAGTATGGTAATCTTGGTTATCATGGAGAAATTTGACCAAGACTGCATAGAGACTGAGGAAGAGATGCTGGGACGGAGTCAAAAGTACAGAGACAACCAGTATGAATCCATTCTGACACAGACAGAAGGACTAAACATATAGAAGAAAAAAGCAGCAGCAAGGGAGTAACAGGATGAGATAGAGGAGTGTGCAGATAGCATATGACAGTTAGAAAATGCTATAAAGAAAGGTTGCCTATTCTATTCCATGCCTGTTAGTTATCCGTTTCTCAACAAAATGGCTGACAGGGAGACAGAATGTCTTGTGTTGTTACTACTACTTTAAGATAAAGCTGTCTCCAAAATGGCTGACTGAGACGCTGCTTGCAATTTTTGGTTTTTCATCCACTGTTGCAAGTTCTCCCCTCTCTCCCTCCCAAGGTTTTCTTGGGATAAAGTACAAACAAAGCCTTCAGTTGTATTGCACAGCCTTAAAATAGACTCACAGCTTCAGTATATTTCTGTGTGTAGGTGCATAAACCTACAGGTATGACCATATGTTGCTCTTCTCCAGTATTACTCTTCCAGCGTTACAAGGTCACTGCATCACATGACAAGGAGTTTTTATCGCACATATCATATACATTAAGAAATTATCTGTGGGGAATTAATGGAAATGGCTGTTAATACTTGTACATGTAATGAGCTCCCATAAAGCTGAAAGCCCAGTCACTTATCTTACCTCACTTGCACACAATCTCTCTGTAATACCCCTCTAGCTGCTCCCCTGCTCCAGGGTCCATATTTGAACTCTGCTTCATAGATTTTTGCAATGTGATTGTGTTTCACCACATCAAAAGAGAGATTTGTGTGTGAATGTTATCTTGGGAATTAGCACCCTCGCATCATCCTCTCTTATCGCCAGCGGGATCCTCTCTGCAGGGCCCGCTAAATCTCTACTGTGGTTTTTTTCACTGAGGGTTTTCATGTCTCGAAGAAATACTGCAGCAATAAAAGGACGTTGTGATTTCCTTTGAGTCTGAAAGAAAGCACCCTCTCCTCCCAACACTATTTTTTGCCAGACTTGATGGAGAGTGTAAATGTGTGTGATGAGGTATTACAAGGGTGGGAGTCCATGTTGCATTTCAACAGGGCAAAAAAAGCGTGCCTCTGCAGAGGCTTACAACCTAAATGAGGCTCCTTTCTAGATTGCAACTAGATTTAGACACTGATAACACTGAAGAGCATGGTGAGTCTTGGAAAAAGAGAGAGAGAGAGAGAGATTATGTCTGGGCTCTGAGCAGTTAGGTCAAGGCCCAGACACAGAACAGAAAATGTGTTTCAAGTTGCTAAGCTAGACTAAAAAGTGGAGGACAGAACCAACATTTTGTTGTTCCATAAATACTTGCCACTGGTGCAAATGTCAGGGATTACAGTAAAAATCCACAATCCAGACCCTGAACAATAGTTGTGATCCAAGAAGAGTTGATTTTTCGAGACATAAATAGTCTAAAAGAGGCATTAAGTACATTCAGAGGAGCTGAAGTAAACAGGTTTATGTCGTATTACGAATTAAGCATTTTATAAAATTACATTGTAACTAGAAACTAGTGTGAAGAGCTCTAAGGACTTTTTGGGAAACCAGATGTCCATCGTGTATATCTAAGCCCAGTAGCGTATGAGTTTTAACTAGACAATTCTGCACGTCAAGTTTAACATCAAGTGCCAAAAAAGTAAGGGTGTGGCAGTCAAGTATAAGGATATTGAGAAATCATTGGATGATTATCTTTGCAAAGGCCAACTACTGATCCTGCAATAACAAATAATTAAAAATATATTTTCTGAAATGTATATATGTATGTGTATATATATATGTACTGTCTGTTTTTGACTGTTTTAGTAATGTTTAAGTTTAATTTAAAAAAAATAATAATAATAATTGCTATTTCAACATACATACCATTTATTTGTTGGATTTAATCATTTTTAAAGAGGTCTTAAATCAGAGGCTTGCTTAATTATAAACAGAATTTAGTTCTGGGGATGATGGAATTAGCCAGTGGTCAAGACATTGCTTCATGGTCCACATGCCCCTACAATCAGTTGGCGACTGGTGTCTAGCCTCAGCATTATATTTACCAGCCTTTGAATTTTTTAACCAGCCAAGCCTGTGACCCCTCAAGGCTGTTGGCTGAGATGAATGAGTTTACCAACTTGGTCAAATGAATATAAGTCATTTTCTCATTTCAAACAAGCAGCAGAACTGTGCCTTCCTATTACTGGCCTGATAAGTGGCTGGCTTCAGATCGGACATACCCTTCTTCAACTTCCCTGGCTTAAATTATATTCTTCCACTTTCCCTGCAATATACAGCTTTCTCAAACCTTCCCGTTACATACCAGGCGTACTGTAAATAGAAACAGCAGTTATTTCAAAACCTTTGGCATTGGACAGGATTTTGCTAATTCAAGCGGTTGCTATTATTTTCTTTGGGTTGTATCCATGTAACAAGGTTCTTAATGAGGTTTTTAAAATATGTGTATAACAATGATTTCAGACAGGGAGTGTACAGCTGGGGGAACAGTACAGCAGGGTGCAGATGAACATGATCAGTCACAGCGGTGCATCTTTGCATCCAGAATAATTAAATCCAAAGTCCAACTAAACTGAAAGTGACTTATACAATAAAGAATTTTACCCTCAGAAATTCTTAATATGTCAGTTCCAGCTGCTTAAAACGTATATTGAGGTATGCTCACACCATGGGTTTCACTAATGATCTGTGTAAGGCTACAAATCTGATTTGTCTGATTTATCTGATTACTGTCCTGCTGCAGGGAAAGCCCTTGACAATCTGATTTCTCACTGTAACTATGTAACAGGTTGACAGGTTATTTAAGAGGCAACCAAAAAAAGTGAGCATACTAATGACATCTGCTTCTAAGGTAGATTAACACAAAAAGACATATTAACTTTGGGCTATAGAGGAAGAACTGAAGACAAAGATAAAGACAAAGATAAAAAAAATATGGTCAAAATTTAAGAAACAATATAGCAGATATAACTTGAATCTGTGTGGTTATACAATCTCTGAGCAACAGTGACTCAAAAGGGATTTTCAAACTCAGCAAATGGTCTTGACCTGAAAGTGGAAGTACTAAAAAGGAAGGAATCAATAGAAATTACTGCATGTGATTATCTCAACTGTCCTTGACCGGAGCAGAATGCATTTAAGTTTAAAGCAAAACATCCTATTTTCAACATTCTTTAAGTCATTAAATCAATAATAAAACATGAACTTTCTGTTACCTTGGTGCTTGTATAAAGCAGCTAAGGTTTTTGGAGGGTTTTTTTTATGTGTGCATGCAGACTTAGATATACAGGGATTAAAGAAAATGTCAGACCCTTCTTCCTCTCTCAGCATCCAGTTAGCCTGTGAGATGGCAAAGGGCGGAGAGCCGTCCCTCTGTGGATTCTGCCAGAGTTTCAGTGTGGGAGATAGAAAAGGCGATTGAGTTGAATTCACTCTCAAAGTGACTCAGGGCCTTTTTTTTCCATAGGCGAAGGAAGTTTCTCTCCACTTGAATAAACTTTGCTTCCTTTTTTCCCTTTTTCTTCATCTCTCCTCGCCTCAACCCCTGTTTCCCATCTCCACTAGGTTGCAAATACAGGGAGAGATCCAACGTGACGACCCTAGACGAGATTCGTTCCTCTGTATGCAAGCTCCAGTTTCTTTAGAGACAACTTCGCCATCGACCTGGAGCGGCCGCCTCGAGATACGCTCAGGCCTGTGCGCTCCATCCAAACACAGCGATTTGACTACCACAATGCGCAGCCTGCGCAGACCTGGGCGCCGTCACAGTAACTCCCCACCTCCTCCGTTTCGTTCATGCTCTATCCCCATCATCCCCTCGGTCCAGTGTCACCATGACAACGAGGTTTCTTGTATGCAAACCACCACAGACACAACAATGATGTCAGTCAACCATGGAGCCATGCCCTCCAAGGATGAGCGAAGAGAAAAGGTAGCACATGCTACATTGTCTTCATCTTCCTGCTCGTCTGCCATTGGCCAGCAGCATGATGAAGTTGCCCTGCTGCTAGAGGAGGCGCAGGAGCAGCTCAGGGCGTTGGCATTGGCTCACAGGAAGCAGGAAGAAGGCGGGGTAGTCATTGGCGGTACGTCGACAACCGCACTGGTGGAGGCCAGAGAAACTGTTTGCTTCCTGAATGTCAACGGAGGAAGTGCCGGGGCGCTTAGCTGTAACGGACTTACGCAGACCCAGTTACTCTGCCCCAGCCTATCACACAGAGACCTCGGCCAAAGCAGCCAATGAGAGGACGCGATTAAGGACGTTCACTTGCGGTTTGATGGTGTCTGACAGACTCTGGTGTTCTGAATCTGTGGGGCAGAAATGGAAGTGCCGAATTCAAAAAAATAATGTAACATCAAGGAATTTCTGAATATGTGCTGATATTATGCATACAGTGTGGATACAAACAAAAAAAACTCTTCTTGAGTGGTCGCCTTTACACCAACTGACAGTATGGAAAAATAAAAAAGTATTTACATGCATTTATTTACAAAGCAAGATGAACACTTCTACTTAGGCAAAAAGAAACCAAATAGTCTGTCAAATCCATGGTGTTTTTAATTGTAAAAAGTATATATAAATATATATAAATATATATGGATATAAATATATGGAATTCAAAAAGTGACCAAGTACAAAGTTGAAGAACACAGGAATGATGTTACTATTTTTCTTTCTCTCTTTTTTTCCTCCCTGTTTTTTTATTAACTCACATTTTTTTTTAAGTTCTTGCTCAGTTCTAATACAAAGTTGTTGGTTTTTTCATGAAAGTCCTTCCGCACGTCCATAAGGCGGGACTTGGATTCTGTGAACCTGCACAGAATCCAAAATGGCCGACCAGGAAGGAGCCACTCTTGTTTCTCCCCTCATGCCTTTTGAAGAACTGTCGACGCAGCCAAGAATTACAGCACACCCTTCTGGATGAGGTTTTACAACACAAAACAAAACAAAACAAAAAACATTCTCCGGCTCTGTGTGGGCTTGTTTTTGTGTGTGTGTGTGTGTGTGCTGAAGTTTTGAAAAAGAGACAGAAGAGAGGGAGAAGAAAACAGGAAATGACTTCTTCTTCTTCAGTAGGTCAAAAATGGGAGAGCTGGTTGTAAAAGACAGCCCAGATGTGGACTCCCCTTTGGCCAGTGATTCAAATCTAGATTATTTTTGTTTTTGTTACAAATGATATTTTTCACACACATATGCACACACACACTCACTTGTGCATTATTCTTTCTTTGCTCGTACAGTGGGATGAATGGACAGAAGGACACATAAGGAAGGAAAGAGGGCTAAGGGTTACCACGGGAGCTAATCGGATATTTTTTTAGTTTCTTTTGTTATTTCCATATTTTGGTTATTATGAACAATGCTGCTTTCTGGGGCTGATGGGAGGGACATGGTCTGGGTGTTGATACAAGAAATAAATGTCTCTATGTTGTATCCTATGAATTGGAAGCTTTTGAATCTCTGTATGAAGTTACAGCCAAATGTTTCTGGTGACAAGTAAAAAAAAAAAATGGTTACAATTCTGGTAAAGATCTTTTCTAAATAACACTTGTTTTGGTTTACTTCTTAAAAGCACTCCTTGCAAACATCAGTCTGGTGTTCACAGAAAGCTTGTTTGAACCTTTTCCAACATGAGCTGGTCTAAAGTGGCTCAAGACGAGTATTCATAAAGGTAATAATAATGGTACATTTTATTTGTGAAGGACTCTACTCAAAGTGCTACAGGTTCTTCGGTCATTACGATAAAGTAGTAAGTAGCTCCCACTTTTGGCCATGCTGCCACCAAAAGAGAAAGTCATTATGGATGACTTTTAATCAGAAAGCTCACATTCACTACCTTTTCTAATACCCCAGCTTGGTCCAAGGCCCTCAACAACAAAATATGACAATCTACTCTAGCATCAGTTTTGCATGTTTGGTCTGAAACCTTTTGACATTTAAGATCTTTTCATTTAATTTCTTCCAAACCAAAGTGGACTTTATCACTTCTTATATTGCATCACTGGACTTAAACAACACATAAAAACAAAATAATAAGTTCAAGGAATGACACTATAAGCGAACCTAAACAGCATTATATTTTGTCTTTGGTTTTCAGCAGAAGAATCTTTGTCTCTTACTTCTACACAAGCAGTTTTATGAGAAGAGCGAGTGTCTCTACAGATGTTTGTTAAATGTCTCACTTAAGAATGAAAATGACAAGCATGAAGCTTACTTTGCTAAAGGCAATTTGATTTCTGTTGGCTCTTTTAAAGATGGGCGCCAATGGGAAGAAAGAATGACAGAGACTATTTTTCAGGCAGATGCATGCATTATGTGAACGTGTATGCTTTGGTATCCTGGCAACTGAATTGGAACTTCACAAAAATGTTTTATGAAAGAACATTTTATCTGGAAAAGAAGCTTAATTAATAGAGAAACTCTGAACTTTCTACAACAAGCTGAAGAGGCAGCATTTCTCCGTAAGAGAAAGTTTTGATCTCTATCACAATCATTAAAAGGGGTTAGGAGCTTGGTTTCAAATGATTACTCTTTGAAAACACAAAAAGAATATTTCATGTTTTTGAGATAAAGTAACATTAACGCTCAAAGCAGCCTTCTTTACTGCTTAAAAACTGCTGTCAGCCAAAGTGTGACTCTCTTTTCTTCCAAATGTGGTCCTCTCTTGTGTGATCAACTCTTTTGGATCGAGAAAGGGTCTGATTCAGTCCTGACATTCTGGATACGTTCACTCATAAGAATTCAAACCCTGTCACCAAGTCTCACACAAAGGCAGAACCTTGGGAACAGTCATGCATTCAGCTTGGCCATCTTTTCTTTCATTATATATATAACAATGCCTGAATGGCAAGGCCAAATCTTACAAGCACAACTAAAACATCCCAGAGCTTTCATTTCATTATTTTCAATCTTTGTTCAATTAATCAAAAACATAATATTCCACACTCACATTAATGAAAGCCTCAAAAGGCTCCTTTTATATCAACTTTTTGAAGCTCAAATGTGAGTTTTTCTGATGACCCTGAAATCCGTGATGTCCTCAGTAGAACAAACACTGGGGGCTTATGCAGGTTGATGTGTTTCTTTGCACAAATACAGTGCAAAAAAATGTGAATCTGTTTGTTTGACCAACTGTAATCAGTGTATGAGCTTTTTAACAGATAAAAGTGTGCAAGCGTTGTCTGGATCTGTTCATTATCTAATACAAGCCGCGCAACGAGAACGGTCATCGACTGCATGTTTTCACAACATTTACAAATCGCTCTCGAGCCTCACGCAGCGGGAAGAAAAACACATGTCATGGCCAGACGCTAAACAGGCGTTTTCCTTCTTTAATTGGCAGTACTGTGAGAGTTATTACTGCACCTTGACAAAACTGCAATTACATTTTGACATGCAGGTACTCCAGCACAATGTACGCCTGAGCTTCGTCAATTATACAACAGAGGGGAGAGAAAAAACTCATTTAATGCGGCATCTCTGCTTTCCACTCTGAACATCTTTACATGTGCCAGTAATTGAACATCCCTCACTGCATAACTCCTCATCCTGCTGCTTTAACATTATCAGGAGGAGCACAGGAGGGGAAATGAGGTTGTGCTTTCGATTAGGGAAACCTCATTGCTTCCCTTTTTATTAGTCATGGATTTAGAAGGCATATCGGCTTTTCTTCCTTATTGTCCAAATTTTATTTAAACTTTTGTGTGTGTCTTTTGAGTGTGTGCAAGTCAGTTAATAATTTCATTATTCTGACATGAATTGAGAATTTATCCGTGCCTATTTTAAAGCATTAATACACACTTGAATTTCAGAATGAATCTTACATTCTAATTCAGGTGACACTGTTTCACCTGAATGTCTTAAGAAGAGCAGGAAACCTTTTATTTTGTGCTTTCATTGTAACCTAGTGATGCATAATCCACAGCTAAATTGTATAAATTGTCAATACCAGTTTTCTTTTCCAGTAAAACAATTTTGCAAGTGTGTGTTTTATTATTTGGAAAAGAAAAGCTCTCAGTAAAAAATGAAAGATTAGCTTTTTTAATATTTAAACAAAATTAAGTATTTGTATTTTCAATTTTCCCCTTTGTCCATTGGTCATATTTATAGCAAAATGTGGTAGTGATTCTTTTCTTTCAGCAGGTGGAGGAAATTAAAACAAAAGGTAGGTATGTGAGACAAAATCTGGGATAAAATCCTGTTTATCTATTTTTAAAAAAATGGGAACCCTGTTCATTATCAGTGCGAAAATTCACAGCAATGAGATGTTATTTTCTATATACATATTTATATAGATTTTGTGTGTGTGTGTGTGTGTGTGTGTGTGTGTGTGTGTGTGTGTGTGTGTGTGTGTAGGAACCGATGTCCGACTTCCTACTCTCACTCCCGCTCTTCTCCAAACCAACACAGATTTAAGTCCTGCACTGCACTTTACCGCTCCAGCTGCAGTCAGTCAGATGGCAAACAGTGTCTCAGTGAAGACCATCACTTCAGTGACTACATGTCAGTGTGTGTGTGTGTGTGTGTGTGTGTGTGTGTGTGTGTGTGTGTGCATGTGAGAGAGAGAGAGAAAGAGAGAGAGAGAAACTGATGGCAGGGAATAGAGGTGAGCCCGTTCCGGCCAGAGAGATAAGAGCTACAGCTTGATCCTCCAAAAGCTCTGAACTGCCAGGCTGGACTTCCCAATCAGACCTCATCTGAACTCTACGCCAGTTCAGTGTGTCCTCTACACTGTCATGCACACATGCGAGTGTGTCAACATTTCTTTTTGTGGCGCGGACACCCCAGCGGCTCAATCAGCCGGCCATCTAGATAACAAATACACAAATAAAAAAGTGATGATGCTTTGCATTGAAAAGGTGGAATGAACTGGATCTGCTCTGAGAAAGGTAGAGAGAGGCAGAGGCAGAAAGATGGCAGCACTGCAGACATTTCAGACTCCTTTTTTAAAAGCAGGAGTGAGAAAGAACAGCTAATCCTTGGTAGAGAAATCAGGCTTTGGGATGTGCTATTCTTGCACCAAATTGTGTTCCCCTGATTTTGTCTTCCAGAGAAAAAGATAGTCCAATAATAGTTTTCCTTCCTGAAATAAATTCCAATACCTATGTGGATACTGGGTAACCCTCTCAATATTGTGTATATATTCATAATATACCAAACTGTTTTTATTTGTCAATCACACGCTGATTTAACTTGGAAATACTAATATGTCCATTGCCTTTTGCATCTGATCCGTGCATTTAATGGAAAATTGGCCCATACTTGATACCTCATTATAGGCAATATTAAAGTCTTATACGGATACCAATACTGTTAGTACCTGTAGGTATCAGTAGCTACAGTTCATATTCTTTTATACATTTTTCATCAGGCCAAACTGGCAATGCAAACTTTTCTTTTGTGTGCAATTTTCCATTGTAAATAAAATGAACATTTCTCAAAAGATAAGGAGTGATTGCAGTGGACATGTTGTTGCAGTGCATTAATACAACAACATCAAAACAATGTCAGGAAAAAAGGAAAACAAGAATTCAAATTCCAGGTCCAACACAAAGGCACAGAGTGTCTAGAATAACCTGTCGGTCAAGGTGGACTAGCCTCTATTTTCCTTTAATTTGCCAGCTAAAGTTGCTGGTTTCAGGCTCAGCCAGGAGCAATTTCGTGTGCATCTGCAAAGTTACTAATCTTCACACGGTTTCAGGAATACAGCGGCCCATAATGAGTGGTTGCAGGGCAGAGGAAACACACTCGCATTATGCTTCAATGAGAGCACGTCTGTGGCGCTGTAATTATAATATCTAAGTGCAGAGTGAGGCAACATGTGTCAAGTGGGTTAGTGTATTCAGTTACAGTATGCAAGAGCTTATTTCCCCTTCAGGCAGCCAATGGATTATCATCATGTCCATTCCTTTTTTTCTGCATGACCCAAATGCATTTATTTTTTTCTGACATCTAAAAAAATGTTGTTAAACACTCAAAATTCTGAAACATTTTTGAATAGTGAT